ATTATTATTATTATTATTATTATTATTATTATTATTATTATTATTATTATTATTATTATTATTATTATTATTAATTAGTATATTCATATATATATAATATATATAAATAATTTAGGAGTTAATAGTTATATTGGAGCCTATTTATCATGCTACAACAATATTATCAACAAGCTCTCATCCAATGCAAGGAGATCTAAGTCTTATTTTCAAGAGTCTTTCAGCACATCTAGAATTCTATGGTAAAGAAGGAACCAAGACACAAATTCAAATTGCAGCTAAAATTAAACAAAAGTTTAATGAATATTGGAATGATTTAAACTATACCTCAATGCTTCCAGCTATTCTCGATCCTTGCAGCAAATTAAGTACTTTTGATGATGAAGATGAGCGTGTAGCAGTAATCAATCTTCTTCAAGAAACATATAATCGATATAATATAGTAGATCAACCACAAACAGCTAATTCGAAAAAAGAAAAACCTTTAGATTTTTTTAAAAATCTTCTTCAAACAACTCAGATAATTCAACCTACGCTTATTAATCAAATAGATTCTTTTCTTGACATGCCACCTGAAGATTCAGATTCGCTTGAATGGTGGAAATTAAATTGCACAAAGTTTCCTACCCTTTCTGCTATTGCTCGTGATTATTTGGTGTTACAAACAACTAGTGTTCCTTGCGAAAGACTTTTTTCTATTGCAAAAAATGTTATTAATCCTTTGCGTAATAGAATCTTTGAAGAAACAGTTCGTGCATCCTTATGCTTAAAATACTGGCATAAAAAAGAAAATATTTTAGGTTTAAATCAATAATACTTCTTATATAGCATACCTTTCTGTATGTTTATTATGTACGCTTAATATATATTATATAGTTATATATTCTTTTTTTTATTGAAACTTTTTCTTAAAAGACATTATATAACATTAGTTTATTATAAAGTTATATATTAATTTGATATTATATAGATATATATATATCATTATATTTTATAAGTTTTTGCAAATTACCTATGCGTAAATAGAATATAGATGCTAAAAAAAATATAAAAAATAAAAAATATATTACCATTATAGATATACTAGTACAGTATATATATCATATCGTTATGAATTACTATTATTGTTATTACTGTCAATTTCGAGTCTATACATAGAGTTTAGTTTCGACGGTAATGTATTATGTGAACAGTATTATAAGAGTTATAAAGTATTACTTGAATAAATCTTTGTTTCAAGAAATACTTATATCAAAGCTGGGATACGATCAACTTACCGATAATCACTTCGTAGACACCACATTTCACTGACAATTACTTACTGACAAGTTCATTTTACTGACAGTTTATTTCACCGAAGCTCATTTTACAGACAATGTAATAGAGTTAAAGTTAGTGTAATTTATAAAAAAAAAACTTGTCGGTGAAATGAGCTTAGGTGAAATTGACTGTCGGTAAAATGAACTTGTCAATGAATAATTGTTGGTGAAATGTGGTGTCTATGAAATGATTGTTGGTGAAATAATATGGACCCATCAAAGCTTATATATTATTATCATCTTTCTTTATAAAAAAAAAAAAAGAACCACCAGTATCGATAAACTTAAAATTTCTAAAAAGTCTAATGTAAAAGACTATGCCTGATTTAGATAATAATAATCAATAAACAAAATTTTATAACTATATCGATAGAGATAATTAAATATATAGTTTGATACCAAAAAATAATCAAAATTAGAGTAATGAAAATTTAAACTTAAGTTGTGATCATCGTCATTTATTTTTTTAGATTTTTTGTAAAAAAAAATACTTGGCATTAAAACCTTGGAGAAAAGAAATATGAACTCTATTAGTATCAGTAAGTAGTAATACAGTAGACTATTTAATTTTTGGATCTTCCTGACTATTGCAATAAACCTATTTTTTACTATTAAAAATTAAACTCTGATCTGGTTTAGATGCTTGAAGGCGTCTTGTATTTTTTGATTAATATATATACCTTTATTCAGGTGGCTTAGTTGAAAGAATAGGTTCTTTCAAATAAAATTATTAAATCGCTACATAATAGTTAACAATAAGAAGCTAGTTTAAAACAAGGACAAAAGTAATAAATAATAAAAAGAAGGGGTAAGTAATAAATAAGTTTATAAGGAGGCATCTATAATTTACGTTAAACCAGTATTGTTATAGGGATTTTAAAGATAATACTGTATGGTATTATCTTCAAGGTCTCTATTTCTATACAATATAGTACTAATTTAATGTAAATTATGAATGCCCTCTAATTGGTTTAAGAATGTATGTTTAAATAACAGTAATTAAATTAATCGTTGTACTAGGGAGACAATACAATAAGCTATGTAAATAATAAAACTTATATAAATTGAATAATCTACTATTTAATTTTTAGTAGAAGAAAAATCTATAGCTTTTATATTAATTTTGACTTCCTAAAGGCAGTATTGATATTTAAATTACATTAATAATTCAGATACCATTTACTTTATTGCATGCATTCAATGAGCTTTAGCAATTTTTCTTACATGCCTATAATTATCTTTTTTCACTCATACATTCTATAATATAGATTTTATAACTATAGCTCGCTTCATTATAGTAACTGAGGAAAAAATCTTCACTATATGTACTTCACTATATCGAGCTGAAGTTTAATAATTTCAGAAATAAAAAAATCTTATCGAATCTTCACTTACCAGGAATGGAGTACTATTACCATCGGTTGGGAGAGCAATTGCGCAATTTAGCTCCGATGGTTAACTTGATTTGGGATTTATAACTCTTATACACGTGATATAATGTCACGAAACTCTTATGCTGAGTTGGGGTATTACTTAACAGATCAACTTCAATTATCGGGGGGGTAATTTATTATGTAACAAAATATAAGAAATGCAAGATAATAATAATAACTAATAAAGAATAATACAATAATAAAAGAATAAAACTAAACTAATAAACTAATACTACATATGTAAGAATCTGATTCTTATTATAAACTCTATAACTAAGACATCGAAGGTTCTAAATTATTATTTGAGACAAGGTCTAATCTAAGACACATAGTCTAGATGAAATAGTCTGAAGAAACTTTCCTAAAGGCGAAAACTCATGCCTTAAATACCTTTTAATTTATTAAGAACTACTGCACTATCTCTATTGTTTACAATTCTGACATCTTGCATGTCATTCTGCTTGACATATTGCGCGCAATATTTATTCACAGCCTTGACCAACAACCGGGAGACAACAATTACTTACTTGTACAACAATCCCGGAATTGATCTATATCACTAATAGATTGAAGTTAGTCTACGAAACTCTTTGTCATATAATGTCAGTTTTCATATATTTTAATTAAGTATTTTCTTATTTAATCAATCAATATATATATTGATTAATTTCTCGTTTCAATTTTTATTCATAAATTATTATTATAGGTTGGAACTCGGAAAGTAGTTTAACCGATAAGTAGATTCATTATCGCGATAAAAAAAGTTTGAAGCTATCTTTTTTTGAAAGACTTCAGCAAAATTTACAGAATTAATCATAATACTCATGCATGTTATTGATATCTATCCAATCACATTAAGAGCACCTATAGTCTAAGTTTAATAATTATTCATTGGTCTAATTGGTCTAAGTATTTAATATAAACTATTCACATCTTATTTAGCTTTTTATCCTAATGCCAAAAATATTTCTAAATTACACTGAAAGATCTGTATGGTATAGGGTGTTAAACACCCCTATTTTTAATATTTGTTATGTATTATTAAGTTTACGTAGCATTAGAAAATTGTAGTGGATTGTTATGATATGTTTTTTAAAGAGGTATTTTACACTCTATACTAAATACATCTAAGAATCATGAAATTTTTTGTTTGTTTAAATTGTAGTGTCTCATCAATATAGTTATGCTGTATTCAGATATTTATTTATCTGAATTCAAAACTATAACTCATATAACACTTAATGAAGACAATGTTGCGCAGCTGCTTATTTTCATTAACCCTATAAGGATCGGTCAGAACTCATATTAAAAAACCAATATTGTATGTACTATTTTTGGGACTAATATAGCAATAGTCTAAAAAAAATATTAACAGTCTATTCTGGTTTAGTCTAGTCTATTTCAGTCTAGTACTGGTTGGATTTATTATAGCTTCATTAGTTCAGAATGGTTTAGACTAGTCCGGTCTTAAGACTTAAAGCTGACTAAATTTTTTCAGTTTTAGTAGAGATATTAAATTGTAAATATAGTTCAGTCCAATCCTGGATTCAGTCCTTAAATTACATGAAAACATAATACATTTAGAATCTTGAATTAAATTCATCGAATAAGTCTATCTAATTAAATTAATTTTGTATTTTTATAATAACTCAATTCAAGATTTAAGTCTTATAAAAGTATTGTGTTTTTATGTGATTTAAGGGTTGAATCCCTACTGATTCGGACCAGGATTCAATTCCAAAGGATTGATTAACATCTCTAAGTTTCGGACTGGTCTTAGGACTAACTAGGTCTATTGGTCTAAGACTGGACTATATAATATCCCTATTGGTCTTATTAAGGACCAGAATAAACTAGACTATTGGTTTATTTATAGGTTTAAATAACTAAAGACTATTTTTAAAATCAAGATTGAACTAAAATTATTAATAAATACTGATCTTATTAAAACTGGATTAGACTGAATTAGATTAATTTATTTTTACTAGTTTTATAACAATTTAGTTTATATTAATCCAGCTTTGTAATAATTCAATTATAATAATTTAGTTTTATAATAATCCAAGTTATAAAATTTGATTTTATAAACAATTCAATTTATAATAATTCAATCTTATAATAATTTAATTCTATAGTAATTCAATCTTATAATAGTTTAGTTTTATAGTTATTTGGTTTTAACCAGTAGTTTAATAGTCTAAGACTGAACTATTAACATCCCTAAGGCAGAATATATAAGAGAAGAGCTTCTATTAATATTTTTAGTAAAATTTTGGTCGGTAATACAGCTAAGAAGCAAACAGAGTGAAGAAAAGACTATATTCATGGGCTCATGTCAAAAAAATTAGTTGATAATCTTCTAAACCTAAGGTTACCAAGAAGTATTGTAAACAAGGCAATAGATAAGTTCAAAGCAATCATCAAAAGCAGCTTTTTTAATAAGATTTGGCAAAAAAGGTATAAAGTAGTAGTTGTCTGGGAAAGAGCAGTTGGTATAGATACTTCAACAAAAAGAAGTAGTTGCAAGAAGAATACTGCATCTGATAGTAATATTAGCACTTCATCTAAAACAATAAGAAGCAAAAGTAAGGTTGTTCAGAATAGTGAAAGTAGTGAATAATGAGAAAAAGGTAAAAGTAAAACAGTTTTTTGAGAAGGATATAGCAGAATAGATTGAGAATAGGTCAACTCTATTCTGGTTTAGTTTTTAATAGAGCTAACAAAATCTTCTAACCCACATGTGGGTTGGTGTAACAGGTTATATCTGGGCATATAGCTTGTAGCCAGATAATGCCAGGCTTGCAATTTTAAATTAATTATTATCAAAATTTCTTTAAACTTTGTTTTTAGTCTAATTTGTATTTGAGCTTTGACAAAAATTAAAAAAAAAAAGTTTACTATAAAATAAAATTAAAATAAATTATTTTAAATTTAAATAGTTTTTAAAGTAGATTTACTTTGAAGCTAAAATGGGTTCACTTTGAACAGAACTCTGGATATTTATAATATAGATTATAAAGGTTTTGTTCTATTTTAATCTAATTTGATAAAAATTAAAAATTAATATTTTTTAAATATCTTGAAATTTATAGCTAGAATTGAATCAACTTTTTTTTATTAGATGTGCCTTACTAAGAGATTTTATTTTAAAAAAAGTTTATACAAATTGGATTACTGGTTGCCAAAATAATTACAAACTAATTTATTTGTTCATTAGGTTTACTTTGAATCTAAAATAGGTTCACTTTGAACCCAAAGTGGTCCTGTATATACAAGTATGTTTATAGCTCTTCAAATTGCCATAGTTCTATCTTGGATTGTGATCCATATTTTTTTTTCATCAAAGTTTTAAAATATTTTGTATTATTCATGTTTAGTAAACATGGTTCTGAAAGTGATAGAAACTTTTCAATATATTCATATTTTAAGAACCCAACTTATAAAAGATATACTAAACCTAAGTGTTTGGTAATTTCTCAAAATGATAGGCCTCTAAAATTTTTTAAAATATTTTCTAGCAAAGATATTTTGAAAATATTATATTTCTGTATTCTACCAGAAATAAAATATTCATAATATTTATATTAGTACTTGATCTTAATTAAGTATATATATGAATTTATTATGCTGAAATCACAAACTTAATCGAATTAGCTGAAAATCATTTGGCTAATTTTTATCAGGTGTTCCAGGGATTATAAAAATAACTGTAAAAAATTTTACTCAACTAGTTAACCAAGTTTTGCTCGGTTCAGTTACCAGATTATAACCTAATTAGCTCAAATTGCTAAATATAATTTAGGTGATAATCTTAAAATTATTTAATTTAACATACTATATGAAAAATTGGTTCTGGCAAATCTATGGGTTAATTTTGTATTTTTTTTTGTTAATACATTTTTGTGTGGCATCTAGATTAAACATTTTTGTAGATCAATTATATTACACATAAATTATGAATAACAGATAACTAGTATTTTAAATATATGTATCAAATTTGATTAGATTTGTACTAAAATTAATTTAGAAGCTAAATTAGCATTAGTGAAATGCAAGATAGTCAGGCAATTATGAAGATTATCTTTTGATCAATGATAAGTTATTACTTAGCATGAAGTAAAGTATTGACTCGTAAAAAAAAAAAAAAGAGAAAAAAGAGAAGAAAAGCACCTCGCTTATTGCATGTGCAGCTCATGTATAATAATAAAGCAATCTAAAAAAAAAGAAAATGAAAGTGTTGAAAAATCTGGGTGCTTATGAGCTTACTCCACAATGTTTACCAGGTGTTTGGTATCGCATGTGCTAGATATTTATAATGAAAAAAAACAAAAACAAAGAGAAAATGAGATACTCAGAGACATGCTTGCTGACTTGTAGTGATCTTGTTTAGCAACTTGCTCCACGACTCTTATTAGATGTCTAATATCATAATGTGTGTTATATATTTAGAAAATAAAAAAATAAAAAAATATAAGATGCTTGTAGTTAGAACTTGCTTATAATACTTTTCAGATGTTTAGTATTGAAATAGGTAATCTTTTAGCAGCTCTATTTGAGATGTTATGATTGGTGAGTATACCTTTATTATACTACTTTATTGTTAATCATTAATACAGAACACTAATATAATCTTTTACTTATCGAGGTCTTTATTATTCTAACTGGTCACTACCAGTTTTTATTACCATTTCTTGCACTATTGATCATTCTTATATTCCAATAGTATTGTAATTGTTGTATATTTTATCAATTATTTTCAGATTTCAACAGTATCATAATGTGTTGAAAAAAAACAAAAAAAAAAGGAGAAAGAAGAAAGTAGAAATTGAAAATGTGAGATGCAAAAAGAAAAAAATAAAAATGTGAGATACTCAGGAACATGCTTGCTGACTTGGAATAGTCTTGCTCAGTAATTTGCTCTGTTATATAAAAAAAAAAAGAGAGAGAGAGAAAATGAAAAAAAGAATAGAGAGGAAAAAAAAATGTGAGAGAAAATGAAAATGTGAGATGCTCAGAGACATGCTTACTGACTTGTAGGTGGTCTTGCTTAGCAACTTGTTTCACAACACTCATCTAATATTAGTATTGTAATGTGGGAGAATTGTTGTAAAGATTGTTGTCTATAATGATGCAACCTTTGTGTGTTAGCCACTTTAGCATATTATACACATGCCAATCCTCTTTTTCGCCACGTGACCACTACGCAAAGCTTACTCTTTTTAAAATATTAGCATTGTTTATATCTTCCAAATTTGAATAGCTTTAGCAAACTGTGATTATATAGCTAATTTGTTTTGTTTATGTGCGCACATTGATTGAATTGAGTATTTTGTGTATTTAGAAATGTATAAGTTAAATGTATGGGCGCCTAGAGCCGCAGCGTGGCACTACTACTCGCTGCCGCAACAAATTTGGACCGGCAGATCCTCGATTTTGATTGGCTAAGAGCGACGATAAAAAGATTAGGCCGGAATTACTCATAATTTTACTAATGAAATCATAGCCGCCCATTACAGCTGTTTTCATAAATTCTGGGACAACTAATAAAAAATATTTCGGCCGAATTCGATAAGTTTTTGAATTCGGTGCTATCGGAATTTGATTTCGGCGAATTCAAAAACTTATCGAACTTATCGAATTCGGCTGATCAATTTTTATCAGTTGCCCCAGAATTTATGAAAACAGCTGTAAGTGAAAATTATTCCTGGGTCAATTTTACCATAATGCGAGCTTATTTTTTAAGAATTTCTATTTTTGTAATGAAAAAATTAAAAAGTTAATTCCGGCAGGAATTTAGTAAACAATTTTGTAATACGGGCCAAAATTTTGAAGATCCTCGGCCGTTAGCCAATCAAAGTCGAGGATCTGCCGGTCCAAATTTGTTGCGGCAGCTATGGTTAATATCAAAAAGAAGAGCTGCGCCAAACTTTTTTTATCGAAAATGTTTCGGAGAATTTTGCCATTTCGGTTTCGCCGGGTTTCGGAGGTTTCGCTAGGTTTCGGAAGTTTCGCCCATTTCGCCCATTTCGGAAATTTCAGTTTATTTTGCCTTTGGGAGCTTTCGCCTTTCGGATTTTGGAAATGGATTTCGCCCGCAACACTAACTGAAGTACCCAAACCTTTCATGTAACTCAAATCTCGGATTACTATACAGTACTTTCAAAATCCTTTATATTAAATAATCAAGCTGGAATAATTTAGGAATGTAATTGTCTAATGAAATGTCCGTGTATAATATTGTTATATCACATAGCATCGAAAGTGCAATACGTGAAAGTAGAGTTTGCATTACTAGATAAGCTTTCAAAAAAGTTCCTCCAATTTTGTCCTATTATCTTCGATGTCTTTTATTTTATTTTTTTTAAACAAAACGTTACAAGTAAACATTGGAACTGATCAATAATTCGGGTTTATCACATTAATTCAAAATTTGATGAATTGAAAATATTACAAAATTTATGTGATAAACTCGAATTATTGAAACCGGTTCCAACTTCTGGTTACAAGATTATTCAGTTTTCTGACCTTTCAAGCGAAAGTTTTTCTTCATTTTCACCGATCGTGAAATAACGTGCGCGCTGTAAAAGTGGGAACTGCTCTGGAATCGGGAAATATGGATAACACGGATATCAACCAGCATTAATACTATCTAAATCTAAAACAACACACCAAACAATTAAACCCTTCTAATCCTTAGCTATTAGGGTCAAATAGAGCTCTAGATTACGTCACAAGGCTCTACTTAGGAATCATGAGACTAAACTACTAATTCTTATACGAATTTTGGTTTACTAATTTATCCCTCTACTTCCCATTGGACGAATACAAATATCGTTTTCCAGTGAACAAACCTAATTACATCACTAATCAGGGTGGCTAAAAATTTTATGTAGCCATTTAATATGCCGCAATTAAAGAATAAATTACTTCTCAAATATTATTATTATTATTATTTTAAATAATTCTTCGCTGTTTAATACTAACATTTTACACTTTCAAGTTTTTTTAATAAATAATTTCGTGTTAACGATTAATAAATTTTCGCCAATTTTATCGAATATTACTATAAAATTTACTATATTATGTAAAATTTTTAAAGTCATGCTGATATACGAAATTAATATTTTTTTTTTTTGAAGTGTATGAAAATTTACATTATTTAGCAACTTAGCAATACATTCATTTCAGTATTGCTAATTAGCAACTAGCACCTATTGCAGTATTGTATCAGGACTACCGTACGATTTCCGAAAGCTATTTCCGAAAGAACATAATATTGATTAATTATTTCCCTCGGGAAAATGCATTATTGTATTAGTATTAAAACAAATCTATTAATTAGCAATTTGCATTAGCATTTTATATATCTACAGTATTGCATCAGTATCAATAAAAATGAACTTAAATATTTCAAATGCTCGCAGTTATTTTTTAAACAAAAGTAAAATGCGGCCCAGGATATAGTTAAGGAATTTTGAAACAGAGTTAGGTATATTTGAAAATATAAGCTTGTAGCGTAGGTCTCAGCAAAATTTTATTCTCTTGAGATTAAAGTACCGAACAAGAACTTTATAGAATTTTCTTGGTTGAGTCAGAAACACTTATTTTCGTTAATGTTTAGATTTTTTTACTAGCAGAAAAGAATTCTGGAAATGCATAAATAAAATACATTCCCTAAAAAAATTTTTTTTTTTCTAAAACGATGTTTTGATTTTGCGGCTGTGCGTAATCTAGTTTATCCAATTAAAGACGGGATTTCATGCGTCCAGGATAATTCTGAAAAAGGCAATATTATTAAACTAGACATTTTTTTGGCTCAAACTTTTCTAAATCCTGGTCAAAATAAAAATTAAATTTTAATTTTGACCAGTATTTAAAAAGTTCGGGTCAAAAAAATATCCAGTATAATAATATTACCTTTTTATAATTATCCGGGTCATGTCCAATAAACTGGGGGAGGGGAGGAATTAATAGGGCAAACCCTTTCTCAGTGTCGAACTCCAACTGAGTTATCTTTATTGAAGCGAAAAAGGTATCGCTTTTATAGTTTTACATGCTTATCTTAATACGGGTTTTAAATTTGAAATTATTCGCGAAATGGCATTACTGCCTACTAATGGAATTAATTCCATTAATTCCACTAATGACATTTTCTAGTTGTAAATGGCCGGATACAATATCCCACTAGATAGTAGACCCACTATGTACTATATCCGGGTTACAATATAGGATAAAGTTTTGGTAAAATGTAAAAGACCCGGGGTATACAAATAGGAAAAACTATGAAAAAACTATGAAAATAGAACAATCCTTCCAATTATCAGACCCAAAACCACAATTACACCTTATCGAGACAAAATATAAAAAGTGAAATTAATTACTTAAATTTATTGAAGTCGATAATTTAATTTTAACGTTAATGTGTAACTTGCAGATAAGATAATCAAGTAACACATTAAAATTCATATTTCTTAAATTTATCGATTTCAATAAAAAAGTATTTACATACGTACGTACATACTATATTGATATTAATTTTGTCTTTATAAGGTATAATTGTGATTCTTAGATTTCTTACATCGACGGTACTATTTTTACGTACTACGTAACTAAAAATCCCTATCAGCTATAATCGGCTAGAAATGAAATAAAAGAACTGTTATAGTAACTAAAATGAGATAACAAGAAAAAAGAAAACTAGTCAGCCGAAGTCCTTTACAGAGCTACTCTTAAATGATATATGTCAATTTCGAAACAACATAAATTAAAAATTGATGCAGGACTACGTAGTGCTAGGCAAAATCAAATTTTGTTTGACACTGACTTTTAAATCAATACAGTAATGCTGTATTGATTTAAGTCACATGTATTTGAGTGTCAAACAAAGGTTAGATTTTGCCGAGCACTATGCAGGACACGTATATGCGTTTGTTACATAACTAACGGGTCCAATAACGGACCTAATGTTTTCATATTTCTTACTACATCAAATATAGTCATCGTTCAACAAATTGAGTGTTCGGATTTATATGATTTTAGGAATTTGTCATTATTCAAGCAATAAAATCTCTAAAATTGGATGGGTCTCTTAGGGTAGTGACAGATATTACGTAATATTTTTTTACTATACCCTCTACCCCCTCCCTCCACGTAAGAGAGATTTGATTGGCTATTATAAATTTATATTTCTACGTAAGAAATTAGAGACCCCCTCCCCCCTCAGAATATTACGTAATACCTGTTATTACCCTTATATACGAGATAACTTTGCATATTTATGTAATATATCTGCATACGACTTATTCCATAGATCATTTAATGACAGACCCAATATCTAGTTACAATTGAAAATGAGTAAATCTTTTTTTTATTTATAGTGCTTATTGAATATATTTACATATGGACAAATTGTCAAGAATGAATAAAATCCGGGGTAAATTTGAACGAGGTTCAAGTGAAAACGAAGGATAAAACAATGAGGATTTATGATGAATCTAGCAGAAAACGGATGAATCTCGGAGAAATGGACAAAATGAACCCCTGAAAACCACAAGAATGGAAAATTAAGAAAATTCCGAGAAAACCTGAAGCAAAGCGAATAAAATTTGAGAAATAACAACGATATTTGGGAGAAAACTCGGAAAATGAAAGCTAGGGAAAACGAGAAAGAATTTGGGAAAAATAAATGACAACTAGAAAAGAAATAAGTAAAGCGATCAAAATATGTGTGGGAAACAACCTGTGTTATTACGCCATAATAATAATATCCAGATATCTCGAGATCACAAGATTGTGCAGTGTAACGTTCCTTATTGTCGATGACCGAAAAGGAAACAATTAATGTTCTAAAAATAGTCAATAAAAAAATAGTCAATAAAAAAATACGTAATCTATATGCTAATTATATTGAAATTGGATTGTTCGTAATTCAGGAAATAATTATCAAAATGTTTATATTATCATAATTTTCAGGGCATAGTGTTCTCAATATGTGCAGTAATTTTTTTCATAATGTCTAATTTAATAGCGTTGTGACGTTTACAATCATCTTATCAAAAGCAAGACGATGATTTTCAAAAGGTAAATCCGGATTTTTTCGATAATTTTCAATTGCCTCATTGTCTACTACATCTATGATGTCAACAGATGACAAAACAGCTGCAATGAGAATTGCTGCCACAGTTGGTGCAAATTTATCGGCTGCTACACATCTCATGTGGCCAACAGAAAAAGGTATATATGAAAAGGATGATAATACGTTAGGTTTTTCGAATCGTTCTGGCTTGAAATGCAATGAATCATCTCCCCAAATCGTAGGATCACGATGAATCGTTTCCACATCTATCGTATATTTTCTTCCGTTGCATGTTCGATGTATACGACGTGTTGCAGGATATAGTCTCAATGTTTCTTTAACTATAAGGTTTAATGAATTACCTTTTAATGTAGAATAAGATGGATTTTTTAGAAAAATATTGATTGAATCGTTTAGGTCCTTAAGATGAATATTTTTCATCCTTTTTGAGTTGTTTTTGATCAGTAAAATTTCTCGCACTTTAATCTCTAAAATTGCATAAAGAAGAACCCTCCACATTGTTTCGTATGCCGGAAGGATAATATTCAATGGAGTTTCCAGTTCATCTTCCGTAGGATTAATAAATCCAGAAGTTGATTGTGGTAGTTTCTGGATATCATTCAAGTGTTTATGTGCTATTTTTGAAATTTCCTGTATAACATTAACGTCCTTATCTTTGCTTTGTGACATTAAAGCTTCATTATATAACTTGCTCTTAAGCAGACTTATTGATTGTTGGATTGATTCTTGGTTATTGTTATATTCTTTCGATTTCAGCCAAACATCATTAATGATTTTAGGAATGTCATCAATGATTTCGCAGACATTTGCGTCAAAATCTAAATAACCGCGCAATATAACACTCAGTGTTATTTTCTGAACCCAAGGGACAAGTTCGATAAACCCAGTTTTAAAAACTTTTTCGTTCTTTACTGTCTCGAGAGCAATATTTGCAAACCTTTCCCACTTTTTATTATCAAAATTAATTGTTTTATAAATAACTTTTACGAATTCTTTATGATAATTTTCATTTGGATTGGTGAATGGATTTGATATTTGAAAAGATTTCTTTAATCTTTGATTAGGCACCGCGCGAGAAAGTATATCACTATCAGTGAGAATCTTGCGTGCTTCATCAATATTAGTAATGAGGGTTATTTGGAAGTTTGAATAATGCAATTTGCATTTTTTATAATATATTGTCAAAAGAAAGAGGATAACAAGGGAAGAAATTATCACGATTATTGCGAACATTTTTAATGTTGTAATGCGATTTGAGTTTGGTTATAAATACCCTCAATGTGTGGCGCGTGTTGTATCATCGCATCAGCTATGTACGTTTTAGGAACAATAGCATACCAAATTTGGTTTTTGTAATGAACTATTTATAGTAGTTGGAAGCTTCCAATTTAATTTCCTAACAAATTTTGACCTCGGAAATATATTCCGGTGACACATACGGAGAAGAGAAGTGTCATTGCCTGTCTACTTACAAATATATTCGTGGAGATGGGAAACAATGACATTTATCTTTAATGACACATATGACGACGCATGTACTGTACATTTGGATGCATAATAGCAATAGTTTATCATGCCAAATTTTCGTAAAGTAAAATTTATTAGATTTATTTTCAATGTAGTAGGCATAGACTTATTTAAGTTACTAGTTGTTATGATCATTTTTTCTTTATACTAGTACCGCTTTGACGTAACTTTTTATATAGTCGTAGTTAAGTTACGATTATAAACTGTGCACCTATAGTAAAATGCCGATGGCTTCCACTGAATTCCGGAATAATTTAAACAATCAGAAAATTTCTATTCTTTATACATGTAACTTTATAATGCTATTCAAAATTACTATTTTCAGCTGTGGTTTCTAAATTCCAGTTAACATAATTCAGTGTTTGTCTGTTTGTTTGTCATTTGATCAAATTTAAACAACATTAAGTCATCATATACGTAATTAAAGTTACCAATAATAAATACATTATTTATCCGAGAGTTCGACAGGGCGGCCCTCCAAAGCCCGGTTACATGATGATCGATGATATAGTAGATGATCGACCCCCAGTCGCAGCAATGTCATCACGATTCAAAAATAGTACGATAAAAGTCACTTCGCATATGAAATAAAATATATGCTGTGGGAGTCGATAATGTATTCGGCAGAATGTGAATCATCGACCATCGTGTAACCGGACTTTGGGAGCCACCCTGTCGAACTCATTTATCCGAGAACAGGTTTTTTTCGATTTTTAACAGCTGTCCTACCTTGTTTAGAGCGTTGGGAGTGCGCGAATGTAACCGGTTGCATAAGGAGAACATCTTCCTGCGTTGCGAATACAAAGTAATATTTCCAATTATATAATAAATTGAAAATTTTACTTTGTATTCGCAACGCAGGAAGATTCTCTCCTTATGCAAACCTGGGTTACACTCGCGCACTCCCGACGCTCTAAACAAGGTTGGGTGTTAAAAATCGAAAAAAAACCTGTGCTATTTATCCGGTAGGTTAGTATGTATATTTTATAATTAGAATATATTAAAATGCTTCTAAGTCAGATAAATAAAATAAAATGCAATAATTATTAAATTAAAAGAATATATTATTTAAAACTATATATCGTACTATCTATACCGTACGATCACATGTAATGCGGAGGGATGATACCGTTCAACTTTTTGGTGCGCTATATTTTAGAAGGACGTATTATGATAATCTTTTTTTTCTATTTTAGAAAATATCATATACAGTATGTTGAAATTTTGATGATATGTAATTATTACGTATATCATGATTATATGGTGGGAATATTTTATGATTATTGTATTGATATTACAATAATTTATTACTACATTATTGTGATTGTTAATGTATTATATCTAAGTCAAGTATAGAGTGGGAATGATTAAATAGCGCAAAGCGAAACCTAATGTTTTAATGCCACAAAAAGATTTTATAACCAATATATTCATTTTTTGAAAATTAATTCTAGGTTTTCGCTTTGCAGCGCTCATCGACATTTGTTAAATAAAACAACTCAACTACATGCTGTGTCATCGGTTTGTAACCACATTACTGTAATTATCAAAATAACGAATAAGTCTATGAACGTTTTATAGTAACCGTAATAACTATAATAATTCCAATACAAACCAACTCAGTTTAACTACATAGAAATCATGATAATTTTAACTTTATATTATGGTTGTCAGAATAGCGAGTGTGTTCAATAACAGAATTTTTTATAATTATAATTTTAATGCAACTTAATCACATAAAAATCATATAATTTGGTTGCAAACTAACTAATTTTAACCACAACTACTGTTATCAGGATATTGAGCAGGTTCTATAAGGATCTTTTTAGTAGAAATCATGCCAGTTTTAATACAAGACCAACTCAGATTTATTAGAATAATTATAATTTCAATACAAATTAACATAATCTTAGCTACATAATGTAGTCTATAGAATAGTGTATTCAGTAACGGAATTTTTTGTAACAATAATTCTGATGCAACTGACTTAGCCTTAACCATAACCATAACCATAATGTGATCACTGGAATAGAAAGTTCCGTGAAAGAATTATTTGCAGTAGATTAAAATACAAACTACTCAACCTTAATTACACATAAATAAAGATGATTCCCATGCAAGCTGTGCAGAATTTTTTATAGTAGAAATCACTATAATTCAATGCAAATTAACTCAACCTTAATCACATAAAAATCAAATACTTATGCAAACTAAAACAATCATGTATTGTCAGAATAGAGAGTAAGTTCTGTAACAGAATTTTTTAATATAAATATTATGATAATCCAGATGAATTCTGATACAAGCTAACTTAATCTTAATTACATAGAAATCATGATAATTCTGATGCAATTAGCTAAACCTCAATTATATAGAAATCATAATAATTAAGATGCGAACTAAACAATTTTGGTCATATGTTGTGGTTGTTGGAATAGCATATAAGATTGTAACAGAATTTTTTACAGTAGAAATCATAATAATTCTGATGCATCTAATACAACATTATTGTTTTTTTTAGATTTAGTTGGATTAATGAATTTTGAGGTTTTTCTTCATCTGTGAGTCTTATTTATATTTTAAAGTTTACATGTTATATAGTTCTGCACAGCATCGCATGTTGTGCAGCTATCCTTATTTAAATAATATTTTAATTGATCATGATATTATATACAGAAATGTAATGATTTTTACAATTATATTTTTATCCTTCTATCTATAAAGTTGAAGATTTTTTTATAATTATTAACATTTTGATAGTTTTATAAGACTCTTTAATAATATATAAAAAAGTTATATTATAAAATTTACAAAATTCATTTTCTGGTTAATTCATTTGATATTTTATTAGCTAATCTTGATGTCAAAATTTGAACATTTATGTTTTTCAAAATTGCTGTGATTGCCTAATAATTGTTTATAATAAATAAATTTAAAAATTCAGTAACTACATGAGTTGAATATATAAATATGATACTTTCAAAGCATCATTGATGGCAAAATATTTAGAAGGCTTATTATTTCAAATAATTGCCAAATACTTAGGTGTTAGTATATCTTCTATAATTCAGATTCTAAACACTTTCAAAGATATAGATTAGAGTTGGACCTGAAACTCTTTCTACTAAAATCTAAAGTTTCAGGTTTCGGATTATAGCTTCTGAAATCTTATCTGAAACCCAAAACCTTATCTAAAACCCAAAACCTTGTCTAAAACCTGAAATTATCAAATTACCAATTTCTATATAATATTCGATTAAAAAATAATTTAGTATATGTAATTTTTGTAAGACATAATAATTTTTATTTATGTTAATAAAATTTTTGGCATTAGTATTACAAGATACATACATGATTGTAGTTAGATAAAACTTGTTATTTTAAATTTTATTGTAATTTTTATATATATAAGATAATCAATTAAATATATTATAATATTAGTATTATGCAAATTTAATATATAATACTTTGATATTCAGCTATATAATTTGTTACAGATATTGCTATAAATAAAATAAATAATTTATTTACTATTACATATATGTAATATTAGCTTGTGAATATAAAAGTTATTTAATAATTGCTAAAATTAAAATCAGTAAAAAAAAGTTTACTAGTCAAGCTTATAAAACCTACTTATTACTTTAACAAATAAAAATTCCTTAGCAAAGCAAGTTTATAGTTAAAGTTAAAAATTTTTACTATTTATTTAAGTATTTAATTTATAGTTTAACTAGTAAATATAATTATTTAATTATTATTTATTGCTATAAATAAGCACTTTTATACTTGTAATATTTTTAGAAGCCATACCCATATAGATTATTTTAATTTTTTAAAATTTTTTTAACTTTGATCAAAGATATTTTAGCACTCATCTGACCAAATTCACTCAACTTTTTTTTTTGAATTTTATGGCTTTCTATAATTAAAATAAAAAAATTTGACCAAATTTGGTCAGGTGGGTGCTGTGATATCTTTGATTAAAGTTTGTGAACAATTTTTGCCATAGCTTATATTTGATAGCATTTAGAATTTTACAAGACAAAAAATTTAATAGAAGGTATCTTGGCATCCATCTGACCAAATTCGATCAACTTTTTTTATTTTAATTATAGAAAGCTGCAAAATTTAAAAAAAAAATGATTGAATTTGGTTAGATGGGTGTCAAGATAACTTTGATCAAAGTTTGTAAACAATATTTGCTGCAGCTTATATTTAATAGATGTTTAGAATTTTACAAAAACCTTTGATCAAAGATATATTAGCACTTATCAGCCAAATTTAATCAATGTTTTTTTCTTTGACTTCTGTAGCATTCTATAAATAAAATAAAAAAAAGATGATTGAATTTAGTTAGGTAGATGCTAAAATATTTTTAATTAAATTTTGTAAACATCTTTTGCTATAGCTTATATTTAATAGACATTTAGAATTTTGCAAAAAAAAACTTTAATTGAAGATATCTTAGTACTCACCTATCCAAATTTAATCAACTTTTTTTTTTTCTTTAACTTTTGCAGCATTTTATAGTTAAAATAAAAAAAAGATGGTCGAATTTGGTTAAGTTGATACCAAGTTATTTTCGATCAAAATTTGTAAACAACTTTTGACATAGCTTATATTTAATAGATATTTAGAATTTTGTAAAAACTTTGATCAAAGGTATCTTAACACACAACTGACAAAATTCGATTACCTTTTTT